GGGGGGTGGTGTAAATATGAACACATTTATTGTATGAGTTGTAGCCTACCATGACTTGTAAACTACATTATCTAAACGCATCTTAATCTACCACACAATAGGACACTGTCCAACAATGGATATACACAGAGACGATCTTATTTTCTATAACAAAGTATGCATGCTTTTACTAGTAGAGAACTGGATTTATTAGACTAATAAGTCCAGCTCTCTACTTACATTTTTGTGACAAATTGATCCAGAGCATTGCTTGGCAAAGAGGATCCTTTTATGTTGCCAAGTTTCATTCAAATATCATGACTTTGGGAGAACATATGAATGATAGTCTTTGTAAATCTGTAAAGAACGCCAGTTTTTTAACCTGTTAATGTCTTTACAACTCAAAAAGTATGACAGATATTAAAAATCTGACAGCATGACCAGATTCTGCATTAAAAAATGTACTAGACTGCCAAGTTTCATTTATATTATATTCCAAGAAATAGGCGAGCTATGACAAATATTGTCTCAAAACGCACCGAAAACCGCCACATTTTTTCCTATAAACGTCCTCATAACTCAAAAAGTAGGATAGCTATTAAAAGTCTGAAAGCAGGATTAGATTCTGCACTAGAAAATATACTGGGTTGCCAAGTTTCTTTTAAATACTCCAAGAAATGAGCGAGTTATGACGAATATTGTCTCAAAACTCACCAAAGAACGTCCCATTTTTTCGGTTTTTTTCATTATATAAAAGTGTACCAAAAATTAATTGATTAAAAAATTCGTAACTTTTTTGTTTATTGATGGATGTCAAAAATTCAAAAAGTTCCATTCTCTGTGGAGATACAGCTACAAAATGAACCTATTTGCAAACACTTTCTGACAAAAAAGGTTTTTCGTGGTCATTGCTACTAAATTTCAATTTCTTCGGGGGCTTTGCCCCTGATCCCCCCACCGGGACGCTGTTCCTGGACCCTGCTGGGGCCCCCAGACCTCCTGCAGAATTTCCCTTGCTTTTCAGCTTCTGCTGATAGGAGCACTTATAAAGAGAGCATCATACTGCTGGGTGGGGGTGTGAGAAAGAGGTAGGTGGGGATGTGTGAGAGAGAAGTGCGG